AAAAAAAAAAAAAAAAAAAAAAAAAAAAAAAAAAAAAAAGAAGGAGTTGGAGTGATTTTCTCTTTTCCCCCCCTCCGGTCGTCTAAAATTTTGCTCCAGCCCTTGGCACTAATTTAACCTTTTTCCCTGCCCCCACTTTAGCCAGAACAGCCAAAAGCAGCCAGGAAATCCAGTGAGCCAATTCTCTTGGAGTTGGATCTATCATTTAAAAATTCCACAGATAACTTTCACTCCTCACAGCACACAGCAGCCTCAGCTGGTATATCATACCATAGATGATTCCATGCCACCCAGTTCAGATTCCCCTACTGGCCAACCACAAAACAAACAAACAAAAAACATAGCCACTCAGGCACCAAAAGTTCATCATACCCCATCTTTTCATCCTTCCTTTTCCTAAACAATGCTTTGGCCACATTTCATTGAGTTACTGTCAGTCTAGCAAATCCCAATTTTTGACACCTACTGCATCAGGATCCTCAATACAACTCTCAGGATCAATGATTCCCTAGGAGGCCTCATAGGACTGAAAATATAGTCATACTCATGCTATTTGTATTATTATAGTGAAAAGATACAAAGCAGGGGCCGGCCCGTGGCTCACTCGGGAAAGTGTGGTGCTGATAACACCAAGGCCGCAGGTTCGGATCCCATATAGGGATGGCTGGTTGCTCACTTTGGTGAGCGTGGTGCTGACAACACCAATCCAAGGGTTAAGATCCCCTTACCAGTCATCTTTAAAAAAAAAAAAAAAAAAGATACAAAGCAACATCAACAAAGGGAAATAGTGCACGGGGTGCAATCAAAGTCCAGAGGAAACCAGGCACAAGGGCCCTCTTCCAGTGGGGTCACACAGAATGAGCTGTTAGTACCCCCAGCAACAAGTTATGACATGTACGAAATGTAGTGTAGTACAAAGTTCATTATAGATTCAATGCCTGGTCATATAGGTACCCTTGGCCTAGTCCATACTAGAATTCCAGACTCCCACGATGAAAGCAGGAATTCTGCTACTATGTTCTGAATGTGTCCCCATTATATTCATGTATAAACTTAATCGCCAACGTGATAGTATTAAGACGGGAGGAGCCTTTTGGAGATAATTAAGTCATGAAGGCAGAACCCTCATTAATGAGATTAATGACCTTATAAAAGAGGTATGAGGGAACTGTTTGTCCCTTTTGCCCTTCTGCCATGTGATACAGCAACAAGGTACCTTCTTGGAAGCAGGCAGTGCCAGCCCTCATCAGACAATGAACCTGCCAGCACCTTGATCTTGGACTTCCTAGGCTCCACAACTATGAGAAATAAATTTCTATTGTTTATAAATAGGCATAATAACAGCTACCCTGCCTACCTCACAGAATTACTGTAAAGATGAAAGAAGATAATGGGTGAGAAAAGCATTTTTTTAAAAGTAAAACTCTGTACGAATGTGAGATTGATCAAGTGCCTACTGATTATGTTATTCACAAGAATTTATATAAAATGCAGAAGGCACGGGCCGGCCCGTGGCTCACTCGGGAGAGTGCGGTGCTGATAACACCAAGGCCCCGGGTTCGGATCCCATATAGGGATGGCCGGTTCGGTCACTGGGTGAGCGTGGTGCTGACAACACCAAGTCAAGGGTTAAGATCACCTTACCGGTCATCTTTATAAAAAAAAAAAAAAAATGCAGAAGGCACAATTCCTCCCTTCCTTTAAATTTTTGGTGACATGCCCTGGTTTGCTTTGACATATATTTGCTTAAGTGCCTTCTCTGAGCCTGACACTAACAGATGCTTGAAGACCTCCTTTCCTTTATTTATAAACTTGGACAAAATGTTTCACCTAACAGTGGTCATTTTTAAAAAATGACACAATGAAAACTAGGTCAAGTGGATATGAAATTATTATACTTGTTTTAGCCAATTTTCTCCCAGTATTATGTAGGGGATTTCATTTCCGACCAAAGCACTGGCTGCTTTGATAAATAGTGAGCCACGTATAGATGTCCTTTGGGAAACCTCAAACTTGTTAGTTCCCAAATTAGATTTTTTTTAGCTACTCAAAACTTCCTCCTCCTCTTGAGTTCTCCAACTTGGAGAAATGAGCCAGCAGCCACTGAATCACTTAAGCTGGAAATTCGGAAATAATCTTTGTTTCATTCATTCTCGTCTTCACCTTCACAACCATCTTCCCCGCAATCTATCTCAAAATTCTGAGGATTTTACCTTTAGAATAGCTGTAGAATGTGTCCCCTTCTCCATCCTTACTGCCACTTTCTCATCTATATTATGGCAACAACTAATACCTTAATACTCTTCCTGTGCCCTCCTCCAGTCTGACTACCAAAAAACTAATCCAGTTTAGAAATCTAACACTACCCTAACTGTTGGGAAGACAAAAATAAAACTACCACACATGTCCCGTCCTCCAGCCTCAACAGTCTTCCCGCATAGGTTATCATTATACTAATTTTACAGGCAAGAAAAGCGGAGCCTAGAGAGACTGACTTACGGTTTCTCACGGCCAAACTCTTGCTCTTGAGTTTAATGCCTCAGGTCTCTTACCTGTAAAACTAGGTCAATAATAGTAACTTGTTCATATATTTGTAGTAAAGACACTTTTATGACTATTTTCTAAGTCTTTATTGATCTTACTACTTTGCTCTTGAGTGCCTGGTTCCAAATCTGGTGGATTCACTCTTTTCCCTTCGTCGCCCCATCTCTTTACTGATGCCAGCTCTTCACCCTGCGTTAATTACCTCCTTGTGCTCGTTTGCCCGCCCGACACGGGGGGATACGTGGTTCTTGCACTAGGGCGGTGTCAGGACCCAGACTGATGTCTGGTGCACGGCTGGGTAAACCTGAGATGTGAACAGGCCTGGGTGAAGCGGGAGCAGGCGAGAAGAATCGTGAAGCGAGTTGAAAGACCTCTGACCTCTAGATGATGTGGTCTCTACTTCCTGTGCATCCTCAGGCAGGGACTCCAGGTCTCAGACCTTTGTTTTTTCTCTTGTAGAAAAAGGAATATTAATATTTCTTGTGCTTCTTCTCTCACTACGATGCTTGAAATTGGATCTTGAAATAGCACGTCCCGGAGAACACTCGGTTATTCGAGCCTAGAGTCTCGGAAATGGCGAAGGAGAGCGTGGGGACAGGTGTCACGTGACAAACTCGGCCAGATCTTCGCAAACTTCGGAGGGCATTTCCTAGAACGTCTCGTCTCTATGGTCGATGGCGCGCTCAAATTCCCCTGCACAATTGGTTGTTCTTCCGGGGCGATTACCGCCTCTTCCGGGGCGGGCTGCAACGAGTTGAGATTGCTCAGCTCCTCCGGCCCTGATCTTCTACGCTCTCTGATGCAATGAGCTTCCTCAAAATTTTCCCGCCGCCCGGGCCGGCTGAGGGGCTCCGGCAGCAGCAGCCAGACACCGAGGCTGTGCTGAACGGAAAGGGCCTCGGCACCGGCACCCTTTACATCGCTGAGAGGTAGGGTCCGTGTTCCCAGCGCTGGCCTCCTGCGCGCCGCCTTCCTCCTTGCTAGGCGATTCGAAGGAGCTGGGAGTTGCTGGGAGGGGGAGCGCGTGCTCTTCGTCGCCTCCGGGATGTCTCTGTCGGGACGAAATCAATGATTGTTCTCGCATCCCGCCTCGCACTCCCCCCCCCCCCCCCCCCCCC